CGTCACACGTGCTACCATATCACCATACATCTACCATATATACACACGTTACAATATTATCGCTCAAGTTACCGAATATCATACTCCGTACAGGCCGAGCAGCCCAACCGTCTTAATTTCTATAATTTCTTACATCTTCCAAACGTGAATCCTAAACGCTAGCGAAATCCACGTATAGCCAATCCATAAATAAAATTCGTATAATTCACAATGCATCGCGGGATGCAAGTATAGAGGACAAGGCAAATCAGAATCAAGCAGCCACAAATGCAATTCAGCCGGCTATTGTTATTTTCACCGAATGACATAAGCAAAATTATTTCAGTGACTTACGAGCCAAACGCCGTGTATCCGACTAACGGCAATATTTCAGCGGTTCACGGAAAAGGAATAACGGCGCATACACAAATGTGAGCAGCATAGAAGCGAGGACGATTCCTGGCAAAATATCACCGCTGATCTTCCGGCCGCTGACCTTTGTACGCCAGAACGTATAGACCCGCGAGCGTCGTTAAGTAACATCTAGTTTTATCGCCGACGTAAAATCCGTTAGACGATCGTATACTGTTTAATTTGTATCAGGGTGCATCGCTCCGCTAGAGAAATTTCAACGCCACGCTATTAATACATACAAGCATGCCTTACCCTTAGGTACGTTCGTTTCTGACTTGACTTTTACTACCGTGCGTTAAGCATTCAACGTTCGACGTTAAACGTCACCCTGGGCGAAGGTAACAAAATTAAACCGTACGTAGGGACGATTTACATTAGTAAACAGGACAAAAAGTTCATCGAGTTCTACCTGTACTTTTCATCCACGCGTCATACCCCAAGGCATCGAGTAAGAGGGAAAGTCACGATCGGTACGAAAAAAATTGGATCTACCTTATTACGTAAAATTACAAACACGTATGCGAGACGAAAATATACGTATACATGCGGTACTTATGCGTTGTACTATGTACAGTCTATACCAAAAATGTTACGGGCTTCGACGGCTGTCTGTCAATTTCTCACGCTGGCACATTTCGTTGGGTGAGACGTGACGTGGTTGAAAATGGATGGTATTGACTGAAGAGAGAAGCAGACAAAAAAGGGGGGTAAAAAGCGAAAGACTAATATCGCAACGTTGGATAAGAGTGGCGGAGGGAGAATGAACCGAGGAAATTCCTAACCGAAGAAAGTCGCGGTCAACGTGAAGGCACCACCTTGAGATTCTAGGCAACGGGAAGATTATATATATATACCACAGTGTACTGCACTAGGGGTAGGTACAGTATCGACCAGACTGGAATATAAGGCAATGTACAAAGCACAGCCACTATTACTTACAGTACAGATACTTCTATTTCTACTTCTACTTCTATTTCCAGTATCCAGAGCTATATGGTTCTCAACATCTAGTGCTCTCTCTCCTGCCGGTCTATCCGCCACTCTCTCTCTCTCTCTCTCTCTCTCTCTCTCTCTCTCTCTCTCTCTCTCTCTCGTCTGTATCTGTTTCTGCTTTCCTTCAAAAAAGACAATACCCATTATATACCAAAGCATCCATCGCCGCCAACAGATTCCACACGGATGAAATTCCACTTTGTATTCTTTCGCCGTCTTTCCTCGTGACGGCGCTTATAGGTGGATGACGTATGCACGGACTCGCAAAGCGAATAGTTTTACAAGCTCAGCGCGAGACTTGGTATCTTACACCAAAGAGACGACCGAGTCGTGGCTAAGTGTAAAAATATCCCTCCCGTGCGAAAAGGAGTACCCGAGTTCGATCGTCTTGTCGAACTTCGTGGGCAACCCTTATTCAAGGGATGTCAAGTCAGCCACGTTGCACCCCGCGAACGTCGTATCGGGGTCCCTACGTAAGAGGGGCTGTGAGAAGTGGAGCAGAGGAGCAGACGGTGGAATAGGAGGGGGCTGAAGGTGCGGGGATGGCTGAGATGGGAGGAGGCCTCAAAGAAAAGCAGCCCTAACAAAGGTGCCTTATTTCACGCCCAATATATCCCACCTCAGACACGATCGTTAAGATATCTATCCGATCCCCCAAGGCTGGCGCGGCTCACCCTTTTCTGCCTTCCACCAGCCAAGTAGCAGCTTCCTACAGGTTTATGTTTCCTGCTCCGAGTATCCCGTACGGCCTCAAGATATCTGTAACGACGTCCTGCCTTATATTCAGCGACCCACTGTCACGTGCAGCTTTGCTGGTTTTCGACTTCTCGGACAGGGTTCAGTACCCGGTGAACGAGTACGTAATGATAACGCCTGGAATTACTCATGTGTCGCGAGATACCGCGCGTAACCCTAGCCTAGCCTATTCTATGGGCACATATAGATAGAGACATGGAGATATACGGATTGATATAAATATATATGTATAAACACACATGCCTATAACTAACATAAGTGAATGCGCGGCAGTTCCTTACACGTGGATAATATAGGGTGAACCTTCAACCCTGATGGAGATTGATACCCTTCCTATTAATCAACCCTTGTCTGCTCTCTACCTCCGAGGTACAGGTTTCCTCGCGAGCCCTATATATAGATATATACAGTATAACATTATATAGCCCAGAGTTTTCCAAGGGACGAAGAATAATACGAATACATTAAGTTTTCCAGGTAACATGGCCGCTCGAGGTACCGAAGGATACTTCGGGGTACCTAAGACCCTCATACACTCCGTAAAATATAATCCCCTTTATCCATGCGTCTTGATAGCCTCGTTCAGAAGCGTCTTAGCGCGAGCCACTCCTCTCTGTACCAGAGAGCCAAAAGTCTCTTTACCCCGTTATACCTTGTTCCATTTCAGTGGTGCCGCAAACCGTAGTCCTGGCTCTGACACGTTTTACTCCGAAAAACCAAGCTCGTCCTTACCGTTCGAAAACATTTCAACGCTGAGATCCACTATGGGATTAATAACGGCTGTCACTCGAAAAGGTATACGCATGTCTTTTGGTGTATATCTATATCGAACGTAGTGGACATTGCTCGTGAGTGACGTAACGGGCTGGAAAGCGTCGCGAACCAAACACAGCTTTCTCTAGTTCCAAATTGATGTGGGTAGGTGGAGCCAGTGTCGCTCGATTCGCAGCGTCCCATAGAAAATTGCCGAGTTTCGTAAGCAATTTGTCGAATAGCGTCCACAGCTGGTCATTCTACTCAGCGAGGCATATGGCGAGGAAAGGGGAACGGAAGAGCCTGGAAGAGAGAAAGAGAGGAGAGAGATGGTGAAAGAGGAAAGAAATTGAAGAAAGTCTCTAGGCCGCTATGAAAGATAGCGTGATAGCGAGTGACATAACTCGACCGAGAACTTTAGATTGAGTTCAATCCAAACTCGTAGTCGTCCCTAGCGGCGCCGGCTAGTTATCTTCTAATATCGGAGGCTGGGATGAAAAAGCACGAGATCTTCGTGAAACTGTAGTACCCCAATGATTACGGAACTACGGGAAAGTGCTGTTCTTGCGGATTTTACCGAAGAGTTATTTTGTTAGTTCACTTATTTTTTGAGATAAGTGCACAAAGCACCGTGTACTTACATGTAGAAATAAGATTTCAGGCTGCTGTATATCTGGTACATTGATTACATTCTGTATGCAATATATTCTCGGACTGAAATCGTTCTTGTCAAGAAGATGAAGGACGATGCGATACCGAGGGAAAGGAGGCAGGGAATTAAGAAAAGTACAAGGGATAGAAGAACGCCAGGTGAATTCGTAGGTACCAGGCAAGGTTCTCAGGTAGGTACTAATTGGAGGCAGGTGCGAGTCTCGAATCTTAACGAATCCAGAAAAATAGCAGTCATGCTGATGATCCCATTGCCGTTTAGTCTTTACGATGCTGTGGCAATTCGTACGGGGCGATACGTTGTCTGGCGAGCTGTTCAGAAAAAGGTTCACAAGCTTAAGGTAACGCTGTAGAAGGTCTCCCGTGCGAGTTTCGCAATACGGAAATACAGGAGGACGGTGCAGTTTTACAAAGCACGTGTGAAAGAGGGAAAAAAAAAAAAAGCTCGGGCGTCCGGAATACAGAAGAGTGGCAGGAAAACGTAAGGGGGTGCTGAGCCGTGAATCCTTTTGTCAGACGCGACCGCCGGGGGGGAGGGGGGTGGTGCAGGGGTGCAAAGCGTCGTTGCAAGACGGCGAACGTTTCCTTAATTGCATTTTGACGCACCTTGAAATTTCCGGGGAAATAAGTGCGGGAGTTAGGCAAGAGTTTTCTTAGATTTTCTTATGGCCAAAAAAAAAGGTAGGAGAAAATCGCGAAAGTATAACTCACGGATATTAAGGGATAAAAAATAGAAAGAAATAATGGAAAAAAATAGTCTGACAAACTCGAGAGGCAAGCGGGCTCTCGTATGGGTTTGAAAAGCGTGGAGGGTAACTGTCTCCAATAAGTTGAAACTACCCCCGAAGCATCGGCCATTCATTCCGTCGTTTCTATCCTTGAGCCGTACGGGCAGATTTATTGAAATTTTATGCAGCCCCCGATGAGGTCTAACTTCCAGGTTTTATCGTCGAGCAACGGGTATAACGCGAGGGACAAGGGACGTGGCTTCCAAGGGAAAAAAGGAGAGAGGCTACAGTCTCGAGGGGTACAAGGGGCTCGAGGAGGGTAAAGGGGACCTAGTAAAGACGTAGGGAGTTTACAACAAGGGGAAGAAAAAGGGCCGAAGGGACGAATACTTTCGCGAGTCAAGTCGGACCTTCACTTACCTTCACATTTCCAATTGGACACGGACTCGTGTTACGAGGCCGTAACTTATACGATAACTTATAATACTCCGACGTTCGCGTATTACGCAATACGAGAAGTTTTCGAAAATTCATTCCCAATTGAATAATTGAATAATATTGAATGCGCTTCGCAGAGACGTATGAAAATACTGTGTATAGCTTCACTCGACTTCATTCTTCGACTCAGTCCTGGTACCTGATTCCACGTGGGAATTCCAAGTACTAGAGCACGATCGTCAGGAAGCTGATGAAAGGATGAAAACTTACCCGAGATTGTGGTTATCGGTGTTGTCGGTGTTATCGGCGTTATCGCTGGCATCCTCGTTGGAATCCTGTGTAAGCGGTCCTTGATTGACGTCAACACCCATACTGCCTAGATCCAAGGCTGCATAGGTCCTACGAGCCTGAACTCTAGTGCCACCTCCGCCACCTCCTGTCACCTCTCCGCCACGTCCGCCACCACCAAGGAACTCCTCGTAAAGCTCGTCGAAGAGGGAACGTCGTCTGCCGTTGCTATTCAGAGCGTCATCCAGTCTGGCAGGATCGAGATGGTAATTTGGATTTTCAAAGGAGAGCAGTCCGTTTTCTGTAATGATAAAAAGGGGAAAAACAAAAGATAAGAGAATTATTCACCGTGAATAATTATTTTTAAAAATGAGAATAATCCTGATAGGGAATGGCTGTATATACAGCGAACCAATTCCCTTATCAGAAAGACTCACTTATAATTCTCAGAAGTACAACAGCGCCAAGCAGAAGATTACGGATGTAGCGACAGAATAGGTCCATACCGCAGTTTCCGGTGTCATGACTGGTAGGATGTAGGCTAATAGGAGATAGAAGGATATCGAAAGGTTTTTAAAAAAAAAAAAACGGATTTACAGTATATCTGGAAAGGTGTCTAATGGCAATGACAGAGATGCAAAAGTATAGGAACTGGGATGCTGTAGGTGGATCCTTCGAGTCATGTGTAGATTCTCCTTGGCCTCCTTCTTGAATCTCTATCTGCTATCGTCTAGGAGTCTAGGCTATTCGCGCGGGGTTCCTATTATCGATTCACTTGGCTTCTCTTGGAGTTTCGAGGCTGGCGCTGCCGCCGGCCACCCGGATATCCGGTTAACTCGAAAAAATAAGGTACCTCAGGGGGTGGTACACAGTTTACGGGGACCCTGGAAAATGGCCCGGATGATAAGGGTTATCAGGAGTTGCTAAACCGCAAATTCTCACTTTTCACTTGGTTTACCCAGACGTTTTATAGTTTGCCAAATTTCACTGAGCAACGCACTTTACCCTTTCTTACCCTCACTCGCATTCCACATACGTGAATATGTCAAATGTCATGAGGAACTAAAGAAAAAGTCAAAATGTGTTTTGACAGTATAGGCACGTCTAGTGACATGGGGATTGACCTTTAGACTGTCGAAATAAACGAACCAAGAAGGCCGTGCAACCCTCCCTAGTAACTTTCGGGTCCTGCCTTTCCGCAACTGTACTCCCGCTACCCCACTTCCTTGCATACCATCGCGCTTATTTCCGTCCTTTCTACATCGTCACCCTCGTGCTTTCTTATCCCATCATGGATGCGTCATACGTTCACCCAACGTTTCCCCCACAAAGACGTCATATAGGTCGAACTCGCACGACAATTTTGACATTGATATTTGAGCATGACATAAGCGACATACTACTTGTTCGTTTCGCAATTACGACGTACACGTGTCCTGCGCAGTATGCACGTGTAAAATTAGAATAACACGATTTTTTATAATGTACAGTGTATTCAATGACGTATAAGATATATACTTCTTCCCAATAAAATGTACTAAAATATATGTAAAATATACTCTACATATATACGATATATATAGAATGGGGAAAAAATGGTATATATATATATATATATATATATATATAAGATATAAAAATTATATAATAAAAAAATATATTTCTTACTATACTCCACATATATGACGTTTTCGAGAGGATCACGAGGCCTAGTAAGATATCCGACCGCAAGCAACATCATCTCCAGAGAATGCCAACTCCCCGTCTTACAGTTTCAACACGGGATGGATTCGCGAAATTACCAGAGGTGATCCTCTGTGGCTGACAGGAAGCGAGTTTCCTCGTCCTAACTTCCTCCCACCATTTGGCCATCCCCATTCACCATCCCCGACCTCGGAGCACTTACCAGGGGAAGCCTTTTATCCTCCTCACCAAGCTCATCCTTGCCATCCTCCTGGTCTTCCACACCTTCTATTATCCTTCCACCGGGTAACACCAACCTCAAGAATATCAGAGTAACCAGTTGATTATTCCCTAGATCTCAGAATTAGGGATTTACGCTACCAGCGTGTAGGACGGACCGTCGGAAACTAAATACTCCAAATCCACGTTAGACCAATCGCCATGTTATACCCCAACAACGTATACACACAATAATACCTGGGAATTAAATGTAGGTTAAAAAATTCGCAAAATCCAAATCCACTACGTACCAAAAAAAAAAGAAAGCGAACATACCCGAAGAACCAGTTTGGAGTACAGCATCGGGAATTATAAGGGTGAGAGAGTACTGACACCGCCCTCGATAAGTCACCCTATCGATCGGTAACCCCGAGGAGAACCTGGGGGTACGTTTTTCCATCTATATTTTTTTCCCTTCTCACAGTCAAACCCTTTCTGCGAATATTAAATTTAAATAAGCTTTTTAATAAGAACTTGACTTATACGATAAAAGAAGATGTTTCATAAGCCTCAGGATGTCCTTTGACATCCAATACACTGCCAAGTGTAGCCAGCAGTAGATTCGCTGGAATCGATAAAGACCAAGGTCAAAGATCAAATACATCCCCAGCGATGAAGACCGCGAGTGTCTTTCGTGAAAGATAAATTCATTGGTATCGAGCAAGGGATGATTCCAGGAAACTCCCCCTGGCTAAGCGTCATTCAAGACTGAGCTCCCAACGACTCTAGAACCGATCCCAAAAGTGATCGTTAAACTTTATAGAGGAGTCTCGAAAGGTTAAACATAAATTTAGCGTACCCGAAACTCAGCCCTCGTCGTCTTCTGACGATAAGCACCCTCACGATTCCGTACACAAGAATTAAGAATAATTCGAGAAGCCCTAAACGGGACTAGCACGCTTCTCGTTTCTGGCCTACGTTAGGGCTACACGACATAGCGCAGCAGAGGGCAGGAGCCAGGTAGGGCCTTGGGAACGCGAAACGCAACACACTGGAATATAGCCACCTATGTACACCAGACGCTCAGACGTCGCGGCGCCATTCATATGCGGCGCCACACGCAACCCTTAAACACTTATAACCCCCATCTTCTCCACCCTCCCTCCCCCCGCTCGTCCAAGCCGAAAACACGCCCTTGGCATATCCCCCGAATGCCTACCTAGGACTACAATACTTTTACAAACAAACTGGACCGACAACATGAAGAACCTAATGAAACTATCCTCGGCACGTATACGTTGCCCAATATTGGCAACATTGTGAATCATGCGAATACGATGATCTCATCTTCTTTCCGAAGACGTGCTCTCTGGTCGCAACCCCTATATATTCAGATAGACAAGGGAAGAGAAAAAGAGTAAACAGGTGTAGGACTTCTAATCGGTACACTACCCTACGTATAAGCCCCAAACGTCCTAACTGGCACACGTAGCTTTACTAAATCCGCGTAAAAGGCAGAAACGTTCCGTAATAAAACGAAAGGTTCGTGACAGGGACTGGTGCTCGATCACTGGCTGCCTGGTGGTTTCCTTTCTACCTTAAAATAACAATAATACCAGCTTGAAGGATAGACCAAAAATGGGACGTATGCCGTACGTATGAGCGGTCATTTGGCGGTGGGGG